TCTCATGTTCTAAGCGTGAATTAGAATTCCTACAGTTATTTGTTGTTAATTCTTTTGACCTTCCGTTTATAAATAAAGTGTTTCAATAGAATGAAGCAGTGTATTAGTAGAATTGAGCAGTGTATTCGTAGAGTGAAACAGTTATTCTTCGAATGAAGCAGTGTATTGTAAAATGAAGCAGTGTATTGGTAAAATGGTAGAATAAAGCTGTGTATTAGTTGAATGAAGCAATGTATTAGTAGAATGAAGCAATGTATTAGTGTTTACATTGGAAATAATTAAATTCTCGAGTTCCAAGAGTGAATTAGAATTCCTACAGTTATTTGTTGTTAATTCGTTTGACCTTCCGTTTACAAATAAAGTGTTTCAGTAGAACTAAGCAATGTATAGGTAGAATGAAGCAATGTATTCGTAGAATGAAGCAATGTTTTGGTAGAATGAAGCAGAGTATTCGTAGAGAGAAGCAACGTATTTATTTGTAGAATGAAGCAGTGTATTCGTAGAGTGAAGCAACGTATCTATTTGTAGAATGAAGCAGAGTATTCGTAGAATGAAGCAATGTATTGGTAGAATGAAGCAGTGTAATAGTAGTATAAAGCAATATTTTGTAGAATGAAGCAGTGTATTGTAGAATGTAGCAGTGTATTCGTAGAATGAAGCAACGTATTAGTAGAATGAAGCAATGTTAAGTAGAATGAAGCACTGTATTGTATAATGAAGCAGTGTATTCGTAGAATGAAGCAATATATTGGTAAAATGAAGCAGTGTATTGGTAGAATGAAACAATGTATTGGTAGAATGAAGCAATGTATTGGTAGAATGAAGCAGTGTATTCGTAGAATGAAGCAGCGTATTTATTTGTAGAATGAAACAGTGTATTCGTAGAGTGAAGCAACGTATTCATTTGTAGAATGAAGCAGAGTATTCGTAGAATGAAGCAATGTATTGGTAGAATGAAACAGTGTAATAGTAGTATGAAGCAATATTTTGTAGAATGAAGCAGTGTATTGTAGAATGTAGCAGTGTATTCGTAGAATGAAGCAATGTATTAGTAAAATGAAGAAGTATAATAGTAGAATGAAGCAGTGTTTTGGTAGAATGAAGCAGTGTATCGTAAAATGAAGTAATGTCATGGTAGAACTAAGCAATGTATTGGTAGAATATAGCAGTGTATAAGTTGAATGAAGCAGTGTCTAAGTAGACAAAAGCCATTTATTTGTAGAATGAAGCAATATATTGGTAGAATGAAGCAGTGTATTTGTAGAATGAAGTGGTATATTAGTAGAACTAAGCAGAGTATTCGTATAATAAAGCAATGTATTAGTAGAATGAAGCAGTGTATTCGTCGAATGAAGCAGTCTTTTGGTAAAATGAAGCAGTGTATTGGTAGAATGAAGCAGTGTATTTGACGAAGCAATGTATTAGTGTTTACATTCGGAAATAATGGTACTTGTTGTTACCCTGTCTGGCGCTCGGCGTCAAGGGCCTAAAACAAGGACTGGTCGGTTCGGAGTCAGTATACTGTGTCTGAGTGAGATATTCATGTTAAACTGCGGCACGGTATCTCAGTGGGTAGCACTATAAATCGGCATCAGTCCGGAGTAGTACAAGCAGCCACACACACGTGCATGCACCTCGCTATATAAGCGCAATAATCTTGGACGCGACGTTAAACCCCGTTTCACCACCTCATTTGTAAATAATTGAATTCTAATATTTCGAGCATGAATTTGAATTAAAAAAAAAAAGTTGTTTGTTCGTTTGACCCTCCGTTTACAAATAAAGTGTTTCAGTAGCATGAAGCAGTGATTTTGTAGAATGAAGCAATGTTTTAGTAGAATGAAGCAATGTATTGGTAGAATGAAGCAGTGTATTAGTAGAATGAAGCAGTGTATGCGTAGAACTAAGCAATGTATTCAATTTGGTAGAATGAAGCAGTTTATTAGTAGAATGAAGCAATATATTAGTAGAACTAAGCAATGTATTGATAGAATGAAGCGGTGAATTAGTTGAAGTAAGCAATGTATTGGTAGAATAAAGCAGTGTATTCGTAAAACTATGCAATATATTCAATTTGGTAGAATGAAGCAGTGTATTAGTAGAATGAAGCAATGTATGAGTAGAATGAAGCAATGTATGAGTAGAATGAAGCAATGTATTAGTAGAACTAAGCAATGTATAGGTAAAATGAAGCAGTGTTTGGTAGAATGAAGCAGTGTGTTAGTAGAACTGAGCAATGTATTAGTAGAACTAAGCAGTGTAGCAATGTATGAGTAGAACTAAGCAGTGCATTTGTAAAACTGAGCAGTGTGTTCGTGGAATAAAGCAGTGTATTAACAGAACTAAACAATGTATTTGTAGAATGAAGCAATGTATTGGTAGAATGAAGCAATGTATTCATAGATTGAAGCAGTGTATTCATATAACTGAGCAATGTATTGGTAGGAGGGAGCAGTGTATAAGTAGAACTAATCAATGTATTAGTAGAATGGACCAGTGTGTCAGTAGAACGAAGATATGTAGTAGTATTACTAAGCAATGTATTGGTAGAAAGAAACAGTGTATTAGTAAAACGAAGCAATGTATTGGTAGAATGAAGCAGCGTATTAGTAGAACGAAGCAATGTATTGGTCGAAAGATGCAGTGTATTCGTAGAATGAAGCAGTGTATTCGTAGAATGAAGCAGTGCTCCAACAGAAATGAGATAATTAAAAGGTTAAAGACAATGTCCTTGTTTAAGCTTTCAACTGCCATATAGATTGATGTGTACATAATACTATCCGTCACCAGTCATTTTAGACACCTTATCCCCATTTCTCTATACTTTGTTTGACAGACATTGATTATTTTACCAGAAAAGAAATTTGATAGGATGAAAACAATTAAAAGAATTGTGATAAGAAGACATGGTCTCTTATAAAAGACCAGCCGTGTCATCGTCTTCGCGATCAAAGACGATGTTATTTAACTGTTGATACCTTGAAATAGAATTAGACCGTTATTGATCTGTATATTTGCGTAAGGATATCATATGAAGTTTCTTTTTTCAATGAATAAATGTATAAATTTCACACCAGCCTGTTCCAATGTCATATAATGATTTTGGATTTACTCAGTATTATCGTTTAACCATGTAAAGCAACTTACGGTATGTTTGTTTTCTATATTGATTTTTCATCATATATCTATTTCTGCTCATGGCGTATCACTGTATACCTGCAACCTTTGTTGAGGAAGCTGGACACACGATAGCGATACAGACCCTGAACGGTAGTTACGTCAACACATATTCAATATCTGGTTCGGAATTGAATCTGAATTCGGTTATGTTGCATAAACTTTCTCCATGGTTAAATAGACGTTGGGTTGATTTAAAAGATTTGAGAAAATAAAATAATCTTGTACATATTTAGCTCCTACTATGTCTAGAGAACGCAGGTAATAGCCCAACCTATATGATGCCATGTCAGGTGAAATGTTACGGATAACGACGATCCATAACACACAGGTCTATTCAGATCAGTTGAGATGAGGAATATTCATGCTTTGAGTAACATAGCATACAAAAGAGTAACTGGAATATGCTTCTTCTTCCTGTATAACAAAATACAAACCCTTTGCGGTTGAGGATTCCTTATCTACTTTATGAGGACATTAGTTCTCATGTCATCTACCGTGTATTGAATGTCAACATTCAGTAATTTACACATGTATGGTATTTTAAACTTTTTTGATCACTTAAACAAAGCAGTTAATCGATTAAATTCATGTCACATATATGTCAGAGCTGTTTGAGTGACTCTATTGTGAATGTCAGCAATTGAATCGATTCAATCATTTGTAACGTAGTTTGTTTTTTCATTGAAAATATAAAGATGGACTGATTTAAATCCATTAAATATTTCTTGTATTTTAATTATGTATGTATTTTCTTCCACCATGTTAAATGTAAGCTGTCGAATCTGTTCCCATATTTAAATGGTTTAAATGTTTCCATCACCTCACAAATACAATGGATAAATAAATTCTGTATTAAATAAACATGTGCATCTGAATATAGGGTCCGCTTTACAATCTAGAAAATGCAAAAAGAAAGTATAGAGTTAATTTTTTCCTCGACTTATTTAAGGCCTTACACAAATACATCTGCTTTCTTCACCATGTAACGAATACGAGCAATGTATGGGCTCTGTGTTTTCAGGATTATTTTCAACTATCTCTCAAAATGAGAAATAATAAATATACATAATTTAGTCGATATGGCTGTTGAGAAGGTCATAGTATTATGTTTAATGGTAATGTTCATTAACTTAGAGAGAAAATAACTTCTCAGATATTCATCCCAGAAGAAACGACATAAAAGAATCATTTGTCTACCATACATCCGATCTTACATTTATCGTGTCCATAACTAGTACTTACATAGTTTTTACATAATTAATTGCAATAATTGTTTCCTCTAAAATGAGACACAAAAACTGTAAACGAAAACCGAAAACTAAATTGATGTAATGGCACGACTCAGGAATTTCCTGACAAGAAAATTTAATCTCCGATGAGAGGTAAATGAAAATCGATAAAAGATCGTGGTACAACAATCCGACCTACGGCAGCCGACAATGAAGCCTACCAGCCACAACCCGAGGATCAAACCCAGAAATAAAAGGCGAATGGCCCAGCCAATTATTCCCCGGCGTTAATGATGTCGAGGAGATGAGAATCGAAATGAAAAAGTTCATACAAGTACTTCCAGACACTTTGTAACGATACTCCGGACAATTTGCAAAATGCTTCTACCAGCGGCGGTGTTTATGAGGGGAATTCTTTTCTTAATGTTGGCAGCGTGTGTCGTCTTTCCCCCTAATATGCCTATCAGTGAGGGGTGTTAAGATGCATTAGGATGTACATGGCATTCACAGCGGCAGATCAAGCTATCAGTACCACTGGAAGTAGAACCAAATCGAGAATTCTGATTGGTCAATGGATGTATCCATGTTATTTAAAGGAGATTCTGCTCAGGATTGCTTTATTGTGTGTCATGTGTTAATACCAAATGTCGGATCACTGGTTCGGTGGGACACTTCCCTGTGTCTGCCTGCAGGATACATTCAGACTCGTAACCCTGGATTAAGTCTGCCAGGAACCTTTTAGGAAGTCATGTTTTTATAACGAAGATATATCCGGATTATGATTCATTGAATGACACAATACTCAACCCAGGCACAGTGACAAACATGTTCCTGTTCATGCTTTTGTACGCTCACATTCCTGTATCGGGTAAGCATAACTTTTTTCAATCTTTCATAAATGTTGAGAATAGCTAGGTTAAAATCGATAAGATTCTGAACCATTGTTGAAGTAATGTTTTGAATGCGTATTGATTGTATGACAATAGTGTAAGCATTTGTCTTGGCCACAATAAATCTTCACAGTACTTTTGAGTTAAAATATGTTCTTGGAGTAACAGTAACAAGTCATCAATCCACCTTTCGTTGTAGTTAGTTGTATATCATTGCACCAAATTAAAATGTATTCATTTTTTATTCATTACTTTTGTACAAAAGTGTATATGCAATGTTCTTTATTTGAAGAAAATAAAGAGAAGTAGAAGTATATATGTAGTGTAGATGCTAATGTTCGAGAAACGTCCTATTTAGAATGTGTTAGATTCACAATAGGAGTTAGCCCCGCGACGCGTGTGTTGTCCACTCTTGTAATCTTGACGCCGTTTTTGCCACCCTATGAGTTTAATCTTTTAAAGTTGACATCCATGTATCGATTGGCCATGTCCTCACAGAGCGAGCCGCCGTTTTTCATATAAATAAGAACCTTTGAATAGATTGCCGAGATTTCAGCTAAGCAATATAGCTTTATTACTTGTCATAAACTCAAGCATGACAGCAAACAGACCCGCATTACCTTCACACTTATCATGGCTTTTGAGAAACGCAGATTTTAATTCTATAACATTCTGGTGCTTTCTTATTGAAGTTTTGAACTCAGTAGTGTGTCTGAGTGGGTTCTCTGAGAAACCAGCAAAAAGTCGTAAAACTGAAGTTATTTCACTGCCTTAGATGGGAAACAGGGAGACGTTTAGAGATAAGTGGGTTAGAATATTGATTTTTACTGAAGCATATGATATAATCAAGAAGTGAAAATAAACATCCGCTGCAGTTAATTAATGGCGCTAATGAAAGTGAAGTCATAAACAACTTTTTTTATTTTTCATCCTTTTGTCAGAGTTGTAACATTGATATTGATATAGATTGTAAAATTTGAGAGCGAAGTCGGCTATGCATTTCAATCCCATCTTAAGAACCAGTGCCATCATTTGATTGAACTATATCTTGAAAATCGTTTATGATATCATTCCTCTGACATCTCATGTCTTGGCTTGTAAAGAATAAGTTGTTCTTTTTATTTCCTTTCCTATTTTAAACATAAACACGTTTCAATGATGAGCTGATTTAATTACACAAATAATTCACAATTGGCGACCTGTTTTTAAAGCCTTGTTTGACATCCTGAAAGTTTCTTCTGTTTGGTGTGAGTGTGGTCATTAGCACTGATTGATGTAAAATGTAAGATGTAAGACCATGCTCGCACGGGAATAAGTACCAGTTGATCTTGATTAAGAGGGCTTTGTTCTTTGAAGCAATATTTAATCAGTTTACCATCATTCCTTGCTCCGTCTCACTGGATGACACACATCAGATGAGGACCAATTCTGTGTGACATTCCTCTGAACACTTTGTGTTATCATCAAGCCTTGCCCAACCATGAGTGACAAGAAACCATTGGCAAAGATCCCGCGCATGTTAAAGAACTAGCAGGTTTGTTCATGGAATCTTATAAACCGTGTTAACCAAGAAGCGCCGGATCTGATTGAATCAAAGATTAGATTTTCTTGCTCTCTCAACCCTCCCATTTCCATACATTCTCATGTGCCACCACTTTCAGATTTTGAGTTCGCTCAGTGTCAATACAGACGCCCTTTGGGTTCAGGTAATAATTAATTTACGTGCTTACTGGGCATGCCTCCGATTGCTCCGTTTAAAAACTATGATTTTCAAAAGGATTATTCTTCGGTCATTTTAAGTAGTGGTGTCGAAGTGAGATGATTGGATTAGTATTGATGAAGAAGTGGAGAAACCAGGATCTGTCTTGCATCAGGGTGATCACTATCTTTTTGCCTCCGTTCCTATTTTGGCACATCGTGGTCAGGTTATAATTTGCCCGCGCTGATGAGAAGCTTTTTGCCTCCTCAAAATTATGTTAGACAATACCTGACGTCCTGGACATCACTGCCTACCATGGCAAACTTTGAATGATTTTCTGCCTAGGTAGCTTCGTGTACAGAATCTTGTCTTGGCGTGTAACAAATATTGTCTATAGAATTGACAGGAAATCTGCAACTGCTCAGTGTCAGAAAGGGCAGCCCCCTCGGCTGCATGTCTGGACATGATAAGGTTCTGAACAATAGCAAAGTGTGTTCTTAACATATGTTTTTTTTGTTATGTTTAACAGATAAAAGTAAATAATACGGTTTATACTAACTGTGTACAACGTTCATGAGAGAGAGAGAGAGAGAGAGAGAGAGAGAGAGAGAGAGAGAGAGAGAGAGAATGGGGTATGTGGGTGTGTGGGTGTGGGTGTTTTGTGTCGGGGGGGTGGGTGGGTGGGTAGGGGGGGGGGGGGGGGGGGGCGTCGTGTGTAACTTAGTAACTTACTAGTCGGTGCAGTATTGATAGTTATGTATTCACAGACCAAAACATACTAATCTTTATAAAATATCATATTTCAGTAAACACAATACCCTAAACGCACTTTAGATTTGATCTGTGAGGTTGATTACACTTCAACCTACGTTGAACAGGACATCGGTGAAATACACAGTCTCGTTATTGCCAGACACTGATTTTGAAATGATATAATTGCATAATCTCAGATAAAAATACACACACTAATTTAATTCTTAAAATAATCAAAGTTCAGAACTTTCACTCACTGAAGTTACTTTAGAAACCACTTATGAAGTCACTTGTGTCATATTGCTTTCACGTCTCAATACAATGAACAGCCACACTTATAATATTGTGCCAAGTCATTGGAAACACATGCATATTGCAAAACCCATATCGAAACGATTTGGTCAAAGAGCATTGAGTAAAGAGGCACTGTATCAATGTATTTGCATATTTAATGTATCGCGATACTAAGTTTATCGGATTGATAATCGCATCAGTGAGTGAGTGAGTGAGTGAGTAAGTGAGTGAGTGGATGGGTGGTTGGGTGGTTGAGTGAGTGAGTGAGTGAGTGAGTGAGTGAGTGAGTGAGTGAGTGAGTGAGTGAGTGAGTGAGTGAGTTAGTTAGTTAGTTAGTTAGTTAGTTAGTTAGTTAGTTAGTTAGTTAGTTAGTTAGTTAGTGAGTGAGCGAGTGTCAGCTTGATGTTGGAGGAAATATAAATCGTCAATGCCTGAGGTTGCATAAGGCGTAAAAGGCAACGTAGCGGTTAAAATTATATAAATGCATCATTGAATATCAGTCATGACACAAGGTGTTCGGAAAAGGGTAAACCTGGCCTGTCTTTACCGGTAGCACCTACCAGTCACACAAAACACGAAGTTATGCAGTCTTCGTGAAACCCAAGAGTACGAGAATGGTGCTAATAAACCTAGAACAATATCAAGGTGAATCTGGGATTCGAACTCACTATCATAGGATTCTGACCCGCCAAAGAGGCGCAACTCTGCACAACGAATTGTGGCCAATAGGACGACAGGACCAACAGTGCCCACTTCCTTCAACGAGACATGATTGTAGATTCAATGAAGCTTCATCTGTACTGTATAAACACATGGTTTTACCACTGACCAGGATTTTCCTGTTCATCAGGATGTCTTCAGAATGAAAACAATTCTATGTAGAGACACACTGTCTGTAGGATTAGTAGTTTGTTTTGTTTGTTTGTTGTTTATTCGTGCTATATGACGGCGGTCTGTAAATAATCGAGTCTGGACCAGACAATCCAGTGATTGACATCATGAACATCGATCTACGCAATTGGCATCGATGACATGCATCAACCAAGTCAACGCGCATGACCACCCGATCCCATTAGTCGCCTTTTACGACAAGCATAGTGGCCTTTTACGACAAGCATGGGTTGCTGAAGACCTATTCTACCCCGGATCTTCACGGGTGAGGATTAGTAGTGATCAAAGTTTGATGAAATGATAAAAGATATATTCTCAGCAAAACATCAAAATCAATATTAAGTCCATAACGAAAACACGATATACACAATATACGAATTCTTAAAACCCATATGATAGAGTATGAATATGTTCTGCCAATAATGTTAATGAGTGACTTGGGTCTATAGCTTCATTGAACAGTGTTATGAACTACCGTATTCGACATAATAAGCGCCCAGGGCGCTCTCAAAATTAGAAATAGGGGGCTCTTATTAGAATATATATTTTTGAGTTCAAAGAGCGTAAATTTCGTGGTTTATGCTGAAATGTTTATAAATGGTTATATTTTTCCAGAATTTAATTGCCCATAATTAAGGGTGCATATAACAAACGTATTATGCACGAATAAATAGCCTTGTGTACATTTATCAATCGGAAGGGGTGCTAAGTAGGATTGTTCACTAGCCAGTATATTAACAAATATCGCCGTGGGCGCTTATTAGAGCGGGGCGCTTATTACGTCGAATACGGTATATGTTAAGGTGTGTCAGCAGATATGGAAGGAAAGCCCAAAATGATGCTGGGCTTAGGCGTTTATCACTTTGGTGAAACCCACGAGCATGGGTATTGTGCTGAAGAATCTAGAAACAAAGGGCGAATCTGGCATGACTAGGGGAGATAACTCTGCAAAGCGAATTGCGGCCACCCGTGTCATTGTTTGTGCAGGAACACTTCACTGTGTTTAAACCGACATTTGAGTAGTTCCCTATTGCGTCTAAACATTTCGTCAATACATGGATAATGGATAATTTCTGAACCGTATTATGAAATATATCTACATATTATGTACTTGTCTGGAATTATTAATATAACTCATTGCAGCAATATTGTTATTTGGCTAAACATGTGTTGAAGTAATACATAATTATTGCTTTACTGATACTTTACAGTAAATTTCACATTTTGAATGTAAAAAAATGGTACTTGCTGTTACCTCCGCATTATAAGGATATAACAAGGACTGGTCTGCTCGGAGTCAGTATACTGTATCTGAGTGGGGTATCCGTGTTAAACTACCGC